AACAGATAGAAAATAAACGGCAGCAGACAATGTTCATTCAATTCAAATTTTCTGCTTCGCAATTTGTTTGGCCATATATATGTTTGCATGTCTTAATTGCTTGCTGTACTTTGGTCCATGTTTGTAGTCTGGTATATGTGTGAATAAAATTGATCACTTTTGGTCCATGTTTTAGTTAGGCATTTCTTGACTTGGTTTTCTTTTGTTATATTCCTTAATCTGAAATTTAAATTACGTTATTTATATTATACTTCCTATTTTTGAACAAGCAATTTATGTCCAACAAATGCCTACGTTGGGAAGAATAGGGTGTCACTTGAACGCAGCAAAAACAAAATTCACACTAAAATCTTCCTTAGTCTATCTAAAACTATTAAGAACAAGCTAAATTGAGATCAAACAAAATAATGACAGCAATTAAAATACGTGAAACAGTAAAAATCACCAAAACAAAACGACTACCATGAGAGACAAGATTTTTACATGAAAAACCCCAAAAATAAGTAAAAAAAAAAAAAACACATATTGTTTAGTCCATTAAGAATAACTCCACTATAATAAAAGAGAATACACAATATTTTTTTTAAAAGGCACAAAAATAACACCAAACAAGAGGAATTATAGGTCACAAACTGACCAAAAAAAAAAAAAAAAGGAATCACAAAAAGAGACAATTACAAAAAAAGAAAAAAGAAAAAAAGCTTCCTTTTAGGGTAGAAGATCAGAACTTACAAAACTCAAAACAAAAAACTAACTGCTCAAAATGTAAATTAATGTCTCATGACCATCTTAATAAAATTTCAACTTGATTCAATAGTAAACTTTAGTGGATTAGACAAAGTTGAAAAATTGTGCACAATACCAAATCTACAAAATTTTCTCATGCTTTCTTTCCCTTTCTCCAACTGGCTCCACTCCAATGCTCTCCATTTTCGACTAGTTAAATCAAACTTCTTCCTTTGTCTTAAAGGCGCTGCAGAAACATAATTTCTAGTGGGCTCAACAAGTGTGAGTTTAGTCTACAAATATCGAGTCATTTCTCTAGAAGGGATAGGCATAACTCAACAGCCTGCACATCGTAGTACAAGTTTTCAATGATTTTGACATTTCCTTTTGGATGTTCTTGTAATTGAACTAAGTCTCTCCTCCTTTTCTTTCTCTTGCCTTCACATTCTATTTCTATCCCTTAACGGCTTGGCAGAACCCTCAAATCTATCCTTGAAAAATATTGACAGGAATACATCTACCCCTCAAAAAAATAGAGGGCAAATTGCCCCTCTAAATCATAAATCAATACAAATCACTTTTTTTTTAATGTTTTCCGTTAAAAAATGCTAACATTGCAAACAAAATTTTGAAATTTTTTTTTTTAAAAAAGAGGTGATTTGGAGGGGCAATTTGTGATTTGGAGGAACAATTTGTACCTTCATTTTTTTGAAGAATAGATGTGTCCCTATCGATATTTTTTAAGGGTAAATTTGAGGATTTGGCCTAACGGCTTTGCTTTTTAATTGGCAAGGTTATATTTTTATTGCGAAAGAATGTTTTACAGTTTAGACTATTTCAAATTATAAAATATTAACATTTACATTGAAAGAGCCTCTTATATCAAAGGCTTTTCTCCATCTAATAATTCATATTTTACAATTTACAATAGTTTAGATGGTAAAATAATAGATTCATCTTTGTTGTATAATTCATTAATGTACAAAATAAAGTTGTAACAATCTTCCTCAGAATTTATGAATCCAGTTCCAGGTTATCTCTTTGGATTAACAAACTCTGCCTCAGTTTGTACGTGAGTCCTTAAATTCTATGAGGGCGGTTGCCCTAAGAACTTTAGCTAGTATTAGTTCTGCAAGAATTATAAATCTAAAACTTTCAAAATTGTGTTTCTCTATCAATCTATTGTCAGTTTCGACCTCCTGCAAGAAGTGATGTCATTTAACAAAAATTGAAAATAATAAAAATTGTATAAAAAAATTATCTACGCATCATTTTCCTTAAAAATAGTTGTCATCTCCAAGCGATTTGGAGGCCAGTCCTAATCCCGCAGTCTTGTCCTGGTTTGGATAAAGAAAGCTAGTGGAAAAAATGCATGACAATTTGCCTTGGCCGAATTTGTCAAGCACATGTTCGTCTTTTGTTTTCATTAGTTCCCATTATATTCAATGTGCATTAATTTTAAAATTAAAAATAGTTGAAAAGATCAAATAAGAAAAAAAACTTTTTTAACACATTTTTTTATTATAAATGTATATAAAAAATATAAAAAATATAAAAAATTAATATTAATTTTAGTATTGATACTAAATGAATAAATTTAATTGAATAGTTAATAAATTAAAAGTTAATTTTTATTTTTATTTTTATATAAATTTATGATTAACTAAAAAAATATTTATTATATTATTTTTGTTACTAATCTTCAAGCATCCAGTAACCATATTAGATACCGATTAATTTATAATTGAATTGTGTTGAATCTCATAATGTTGGAAGCTCTTCTAAAGTCTCTTTTTTTATTAATAAAATTTGAATTCAAAATCTTACTTGAGAAGAACTGAACTCTTTCCATTTGAATTAATAAGTTGTTAGTATATTAATTTTATTATTAATAAGAAAAAAAAAACCTTCTCAAGCTCCTGAACTTCCCTCAAAATAGCGTTTAAGCCCCTAAATTAAAAACAAAATAAATAAGTCCTTCAACTCTCTAATTGGTACAAATAAGAGCATGTTTGGTTTGGCTTGTGAGAGTTTTTACTTTTTGAATACTGTTATGAGTGATAAGTTTAAATTTTTATTAGAAGGAAAATTTAAAAGTTACTTTTAGAGATAAGAAAAAGCGAGTGAAAAGTAGGTAAAAAATGAATTTATGAAAAGTTTGGATTTGAAATTTTTGACTTTTTACTGTTTGAGATCTTTTTAAGGTTAAAAAAAGTTTAAAAATGTAAGTTTTTAAGAAAAAAATTTTAACTTATAAAATATAAATAGTGTCAAAAAGCTAAAACTCTTATGAACTTTACCAAAAAAACGCTAAGTCTTTATCATAAATGGGCCAAACAGCTAGATCTAACGTGCATTAACTTTATTTGTTCACTGGCATGCACTTTTCTCCTAGATTAAACAGCCCAAATAAGCATGTAACATCTATGTGGAATTGTGCATATCAGAGAACAAACAGAACCGGTACATATCACATCTTGCCATTTGGGTCTTTTGTGATAAAGGTTTATTTGCACCACTTGTGAAGTTAAAGGGTTTATTTGTTTCAGTTTTAGTTCAAGGGTTTAAATGCTATTTTAGAGGAGGTTTATGGGCTTAAGAAGGGTTTTTGCCGAAGTTGTGTGAGGCTAATGCGCGACGGCAGCTATTCGACAGTGGCTATGGCGGACGGGCTACCTGTTAAGCAAGGACGAAGGTAGGAAATTCAATTCAATTAGGAGGCTGAAATTTATTATTGAAAATTTGAGTTTTTAAAGGTATTTTCTATGATATTAATTTTTTTTTAAATCTTTTCTCTTATAAAAAGATTTACTAATAGTCTTTTTTATTAATATATTCTTAGCAAAAATTAGAAATATATGTATTTTTTCAATTATAATAAAGACTAAAATATCATAATAATAAATTATGCAATGATCAATTGAATAATAAATAAAAGAGGAATTTGTTTGTTAGCCAAATCTTTAATAAATTATGAGGAAAAACACTATAAAATTAAATTGTTTTAATAAATTTACATTGAAAAAAACAAAAATAATATATTTTTAAAGTAGGAATGAGAGTGTATTGTTGTTATTTAAATAATATATTTTTAGAAATCATATTGATAAACACTAATATTATTAAAAAATACTAAAATATTCTTTTTAGAAAATGAACTCTAACTTAAATTGATTTAACAAAAAAAAAATTATAAATTCAATTATAAAAGATAAAAATATACCTTGATGCCAAAAGGAAAAAATTTTAAACTATTACATAAAATATTAAGAAAGAAAATAAAAGAATACTAAAGAAAACTATAAATTTAAAGTTATTTAAATAGATAATTAGAGTTTTTTTAGGTTTAATAGATGAAAAAGTGTTTAAGAATCTTAATTCTTAATTAATTAATTAACATAAATTCATTTTACTTGAATTATATCCTTATTTTTTTAAAACTTTTTATTTAAATCCTAAATATTTTCTCTATATTTGAAATAGTCTTGAAATTCATATTATAAAAACACAATTTTTAACAAATAAAAGTTAAAGTACCATATCAAATATTTTTCAAAAGTTCAGGGGGGCTGCTGTCCCCCTTTGTCCTTCATTGGCTCCGTCCCTGCTGTTA